ACTCAGGCTTTCTGGGTCGCCAGGGACACGTGGAAGGGCCTCCTCCCAGGTGCGGCCACCTGGCCTTGAGGCCCAACCAAGGATTGGAGGCCGGGGAGGGGGTGGGGCTTGCCCCTTCCTGCTCTGGTCTCCCAGCAGGAGAAGCCAGCAGAGTTGGGGTGCTCACCTGCCTGGCCTTGTTCAACTAAAGGCAGGCCCTTGACTCTGGGGGGTGTGGGGGGACAGGGGAGTGGGAAGGAGCAGCTTCCTGTTCCGGGGGGCCCAGAGGGTCGTGGCAGCCAGGGCTGGAGTTCACTCTTGGGTCTGGCCTCTCCGAAGGAACATTCTGCCTCCCACCCCCTTCACTCTCCCCTCTTCGGGAGGCAGGGCTGGGTGTTACCAGGTTAAACTCCGATTCAGCTCAGAGGCATCTAAATCTTGATCTGCTTTGTATGTAAAACTAGGGCTAAGGCGAGGGTGAGGGTGTGAAATCCCTCCCCCTTCGGGAAAAGAGCCTGGGGCCTGAGACCTGAAACCTTTCAGGCTGTGGCCCACTAGCCTCTGTTTCCCACTAGAAGGGGCCTCCTGAGCTTCACCACAGGAAGCCCAAAGACCAGCTTCATTCTGTCTGTGGATCAGCGGGACCCTCTGGGCCTGCTGGGAGGGCAGGAGAGTCTTAAGTGAGCCTGAGAACAATGCAGAGCTGATAGCGCCAGGCTGTGACCATCGCCCACGTAAGGAAGGCAGGCGAAAGCAAGGGCCTGGTGCCAGGCTGCCCCAGGGAGGGGCATTAAAGACGGTGAGGCCCACGCCTCTGGCCTCTCTGCCTCTGGCCTCTCTGCCTCCGGGGATCCCTGCCCTGGGGCTTGTTTCCAGTATGGTGGTGGGCCCATCAAACCAATAAGGCCCTAACTGGTCTCTGAGGTCACTGGGTGGAAGCCCTGGAGCCTGGGACACTCCTCCCTTCTGCCCCCTGCTGTGTCCTCTGCACTAGAATGGCACGTGGCACACAGTGGGCCTTCAGGAAATGGTGGGTGGGTGATTGAGGTATTTGTCCTTCCAGATGCAGACCAAGAGACAAAGAATTGGATGCAAATTTATTTGGGAGCCCTAGTAGTGGGAGGCAGGTAAGTATTAATGAAGGTGTGCTCATGGGGTGAAGGAGCAGGTGACAACTGTGGGCAACTGGGGGTCCATTCTCCTGGGGAGCTATCAGCGATGGGGTGGTGGTGAAGGACTCACCTCCACGTGGCCTCACTCATCCAGAGGTGAAGGAGCGGAAGGACCAATGCTCCAGCCCCCACCGGTGCTGGCTGGAGGCTGCTCTGAGAGGGGGCTGAGCTCGCTGGCATCCTGACGCCCCATGCAGAGGGACAGTGAGTGCCGGAGACTCAGGCCTGTCCGGGCACAGATGATGGATGTGTGGACGGGAAGATACTCGAACCTTGCTTCCCGGCTGTTCTCCTGCACCCACTGGTAGTGTTGGAGTTCCCCACATGTTATATTCACCTTTTCCAAACGTTGTGGTAATATTTCCCACAAACATAGAATTAAACAGTTTGCTATCTTAATCATCTTAAAGTGTACAGCTGTGTCATTAAGTACAGTTATCATTGTGCAGCCACCACCCTTCTATCTCCAGAACTTTCCATCCTTCTCAAGCCAAAACCCTACTTCATGTAACACTAACTCCCATTCTCCCCTCTCTCAGACCCTGGCACCCACCATGCTACTTTCTCTATGAACTTGACTCCTTTAGATTGCTCATATAAGGGGGATCAGACATTTTGTTTTTGAGACTTTTTTTTTTTCACTTAGTGATGTGTCATAAGGATCATCCATGTGCATGTCAGAATTTCCTTCCTTTTCATGGCCAAATAATATTCCACACTATGTTTTGTTTATCCGTTCATCTGGTGATGAATATTTGGCTTGTTTTCACCTTTTGGTCACTGTAGAAAACACTACCAGGAACTTGGGTGTGCAACTACCAATGTAAATTACTCCTTCAATTCTTTTGGGTGTTTTCCCAGAAGTGGGATTGCTGGATTAGATGGTAATTTAGCTTATATTTTTGAGGAACCGCCATATTGTGTTATACAACAGCTGCATCATTTTTCATTCCCACCAAAAGCACACACAGGCTCCAAATCTCCACATACTCACAACACTCGTTATTTAATACTTCATTTTTAAGTCTGTGAGCCTGAGGTAGTTAGCTATTGCTGCGTAACAAGTCACCTGGAAACTGAATAACTTCAAACAGCAGGAATTTGTTGTCTCGCATGGTTTCTGAAGGTCAGAAATCTGAAAGTGGCTACAGTGGGGGTGATCCAACTGTCCCCCCTCCCACAGTGGTTGGCCCCTAGCAACCACTGATTTGATTTCTAGCACTACAGGTTAGCTGGTAATTTGTGCAGTGTGATGTAGATGGAATCATTTGGTATATTATGTGTGTGTTTGTGTAGTTTCTTTTTTGTTCAGAGTGTTTTTGAGATTTGTCCCTGCTTTGAGTTTCTTAGTTGCTTGTTTCCCCCCCCCAAAGATTTATTTCTCTATGCATACAAGAACTGGGGTACAGGCCAGAGATGCAGGGGGTGAGAGGATTCACCAGAGACAGAGTGGGGAGCAGAACAGGAGGATCTACTGAAATACACTGCTGAGGGGAGCAGTGGGTGAGACAGGAGAGGTCTGCTGCACCATGTGGGTAGCTCCCTGGCTGGGGATCGAACTTGTGCTGCACTGGCTGTGGATATCTTCATAAATTGCATCTTAACCCTTGTGCCACCAGGGAGGCCCCGTTGCTTATTAGTTTTTATTGCTGAGTAGTATTCAGTTATAGGGTGTACTTCAGCTTGTGCCATCCATCCCCCTGCAGGTTGGACTTTTGAGGACTGTTTTTACCAGAGGGTAGAGTCCAGCCCCAGTGACATGCAGGATGGGTTCAGTGCGGCCTTTGAGTGACCTCCACCATAGATGGCATAGGGCAGGCCTCTGCTGGGGGTGGCTGCGTGGGCAGGGGGTGTAGGCTGCTGTCTCCAGAAAGGACTCCCACGTGTGAGACTCCATGGACAGCTGGCGAGGCCCTGAATGACCCAACTTGGAGGGCAGTGCCCTGGGGGCTGCGCAGGGGCACATCTCCAAGATAGGGGAGGGGGTGCTTAAGGAATGGGTACTGAAAATTGGCCAAAGCAGGGCTTTCCAGTTCTGAGCCTGTCATCTTTCTTCCATCCCCAGACCCTCAACTGTGGGCTCCACTCCTGAAGTGAGAAAGCACACAACCCTGCTTGTAGCCACATCCGTTAGGTCACGCATCCTCACGCCCCAGGACAGCCAGGTGCCACCTTCCCCATCTGTGCAGAAGCCCCCTGCGCTCTGTGTAGACATGTGCATATGGGATGGAGGAAGGGTGGGCAGAAGGAGCTGGTTCTCAGGGGCCTCTGGAGAGAGGGCTGCATGGAGGTGAGAAAGCATGGTGCGCTCGGGGCACTCAGCCTCGCGTGCAAGTGAGGTGGTGCCTGGAGGCCCACCCCCTCCAAGCCTGCACCCAGGCCCCTGTGACCTCACCAGAATGACGCTGCTGCTGGGCTGGGACCCTCGGACAGGCTCTGCTCCCTTGTGCAGGGTTTTTGAAACCTTGTACTGTCCCTCTTAATTTTGGCCCCCAAATGAAAGTTCTGCCGGGAACCTTGGCTGACTGGACCGTGACACTGTGATCTAGGAGCGTGTTGAGGAGGGGAGCCCTGTCCTGCAGAGGCTAGGTCGCCTGGCACCCCTGGGCTCTGGCGCCACCCCTCTGCTCTCTCTCCCTTCTCCCCCAAATCTGGGCTTAATCCTTTCATCGCCAGGTCTGCATCGTCCAAGCAGTCTCCCTCCTCAACCAGGCAGGGCGTTTCCTGGGCTCCGGAAAAAGCTTTCGGATGTGAGAGACTTGGAGGCCGGTGGCCTCCCCAAGGCCAGGCCTCCGTGGTCGCGAAGGCCAGGACGAGGACCAGGGACGCCGCCGAGACACTGGATTGGACGGTCGCGCTCCGGCGCGATGCTCCCACCCCCTGGTTGCCGGGGCCCAGCCTATCCGCGTTTGGGCGGGCCTCGGCGGCCAGGTGGTTGGCATGGGGGTCGGGGCAGGTACGTGGGGGGACTGGGCGAGGTGACCAGGTGGGCGGTCCTGACGGGCTCCCCCGAAGCCCCTGTCGCTGGGCGGCCGGGGTCCTTTCGGGCGGCCGCAGACCCAGGCCTCCCCCAGACCGCGCAGAATCGCCTCCCATTCCAACGAGCTTCTCCCCCAGCCCTCGGCGCGCGCCCGCTCCCCGGGTCTGGATTGCGCGCGCGCCCCCCGCCTCCCCGCCCGCGGCCGAGAGGCGGGGCCGCCGGGCTCCCGGCGCCGCCGCGCGGATCCCCCTCCCCTCGTCTTCCCGCCGCCCGCGGCCCCGCGGCGCTCACGCCCAGCCCCACCCCAGGCGACCCCGTGCGGAGCGGCGGGAGGCCGGAGCCGGAGGTGAGGCGGCCCCAGCAGGTGGAAGGGGCCGAGGCCGGGCCGGGGGAGGGGGCCGATTCCGCAGCGGCTCTTTGTCTCCCGGAGCCGGTTCGCGGGCGGCCAGGGCCGCTCCTCCGCGCGGCAGGTGCCGGCATCCCTCGGGGAGGCTCGGGCCGCGCTGCGCGCTGGCGGGCGGCCCGGCGAGTGCTCCGGGGTCTTCCTCGGGCCCCTCCTGCAGCCCGCTGTCCCCGGGGCTGGGCGGCTGGCTCCCGAGAGCGCGAGGGCAGGGGCGTCGATCTCCAGTCCGGCAGGGAATCAGAGGCGGGGGTGGGGGTGGGGGGCTGCGCTGGGGAGGCAGGGCCCGGAGGCGGCCGTGGGGCGGGAATGGGGGCAGCTCGAGCAGCCGGCTGGTGAGTGGCCGGGTGGTGGGTGGGAGTGGATCGGGCCCAGGTGTGGGAGCTCATGGGTCACGGTGACGCTGGGAAGGGGCCGAGAGGTACCCACGTCCCCGCGGACAGCGTCGCGTCGCGATGCAAGAGCAGGGATGCTGATCCGTCTGTGTCCTCATCAGGTGCGATATGGACAAGAAGGACAAGCCTAAGGCAGGGGCCGCTGCTCGGACTCTGGCCTCCCGCCCACCCAACCTGCAGAGCCCCAGGCCCCCGGGGCCTCCTCGGCCCCTTCCCCCAGTAACCAGCGCGGCCCTCCGAGTTCTGGGCGCAGCGAGAGCTGCGGGGAGAGGGCCCCTGGCGGAGGCGGCCGTGGGCACCAGGGGAGCTGCTGTTCCGGAGGCTGCTTCCCGGGTGCGACCACCGCGGAGCGTTGGCACAGCCCCCCAGAGCCCAGGTACCCAGAAGCCTCTTCCCCATCCCGACCCCATCTCCCTGGCCCCCCTCCTTTCCTGGGCACCACTTTGACTGGGTCTTCTTCCCGCAGCCTCCAGGCCCCCGGTAGCCGGGAGAGGCGAGAGGGCCACTGTCAAGACGCCCCGCCTGGGCTCTATCCCAGGGCGCGCCAGTGGCGCCACCAGGTAACATGCCCCTCTCCCCAGGTCAAGGGCCAGTGTCACTATCTGGAAGCTTTTCATTTTACACGTAAACTGGGAGGTGGGTGCATTTGCAGATCACTGAGCGAAAATTGGGCGAAAGTCATTATTGCTCCTCAGAGAGGACTAGATAGGCCCATTTCACAGAGGGGAAAATGTAGACTTGGGAGCTCAAACGTGGGGCTGGAGCTCTGCCCTGAGCGTGCCCCTCCTGCCCCCTAGGCAAGGCCCTGTTGGGCAGAAGGGGGTCTTGTCCTCAGCTGAGGAACCTGTGGCCAAAGGAAAAGCCACAGAAGCGCAGAAACGGAGTGTTCTGAGCACCGGGGCACGGAGAGGTACGTGACCGGGGAGGAGCAGGGGTCCTGTGTAGTGAGGGGGGCCAGCCCAGAAGTGTTGGTGACCCTCTGTCTTCTGGTTTGTCCCCAGACTCTTCCGGGCCCAGCCCAGGTGCCCCGTCCTCAGCCACCTCCCGTCGGGCCCGGGCTGCGGGTGCTGAGGCGGGTCTCCCTCGGGCAGCTGCGAGTGCCGGCTCTCGGCCCCCGACAGAAATCCCCAGGAAATTCGTGAGCAGCGCCCCAGAGCGCAGCACCCCGGAGCCGAGCCCCTCCGCCAGGAGGCGCCCCAGCGCCGGCGGGGGCCTCCAGAGGCCAGCCTCGCGCCCCCTGGGCTCCGGCGCGACCCCTCAGTCCTCCCCAGCTCGCTCCGGACCCTCGCCCGGTGGAACACCCCGCACTCCGGGACACCCGTCCCAGCCCAAGTCGAAGGGGCTGCAGGCTTTGCGCCCCCCGCAGACCACACCGCCGAGGAGGGGCGCAGTCCCGGCGCCGGGCCCGCCCCCCCCGGCCACACCCCCTCCACCTGCTCGGCCCGCCCCGCCCGCCCTGCCCCACCGGGTCGCGGCCACGCCCCTGCCGGCCACGCTCCCCCCCTCCCCGCCGACGACGCCCCCCGCCCAGGCCCTGCCCTGCGCTCTGGCCGCGCCCCTCCCGCTGGCCCCTGCGCCCCCGCCCGCGGCCCCGGCCGTGCAGACCCTCCCCTCCCCGCCGGCCACGCCCCCCCCGCTCGCCCCCCCCGCACCCCTGGGGCCCGCCTCGCCCGGGGGCGCTGGTTCCCCCCCGGCCGCGGCCACGTTTCCGGCCCCACTCCCCGCGTCAGCTCCACCCCCCCAGGCTGCCCGGGCTTTGCCCCCTCTCCCGACTCTCCCCTCGCGCTTCGCCGCGCCCCCCTTGTCGGGTCGGCTCCCGCCAGACTCGCCCCTTCCTCAAGCCCCTCTTTCCCGGGCGCCGGCTCCGCTGAGCCCGCCCCCCGCCCCGGCCTCGCCCCCTCCGCTGGCCCGTCCCACTCTGACCTCGCCCCCGTCAGGGGACGGCCCTGCCCCGTCCGCGCCCCCCGCGCCCCCGCGCAGGACCCTCCTCCGGCCACACCCCCTCCGCAGGCCGCTCCCTCGCCCCGGGCCGCACTTTCCCCGCAGGCCCCGCCTCCAGGCTCGCGGTCCCCCGCGGCCTCCCCGCCTCCGCCCGCCGCGGCCGCGCCCCCGGCCCCCGCCCCGCCGCGGGCCCCGCCTCCCCCGGCCGCCCCCCCGCCGGCCACGCCCCCGCCCCCCGCGCAGGCCCCGTCCTCGCCCGTCGCGCCGCCCCCGCAGGCCCCGCCCAGCCCCGCGCCCCCGCGGACCCCGCCCGCCCCGGCTCGGCCGCCTTCGCCGGCCGCTTCCTGTGCGCCCGCGGCCCCTCTGCAGGCCCCGCCCTCCCCTCCGGCCTCCCCGCCGCCGCGGGGCCCGCCTCTCCCGGCCCCGCCTGCCCCACGGTCTCCGCCCTCCCCGGCCCCGCGCCCCCCGGGCTCGCCCCCTCTTCGGGACCCCCCCTCGCCCCCGCGCGCGCCCCCTCAGCGGGCGCTGCCGCCCCTGGCGCCGCCCCCTGCGCTGGCCCTGCCCTCCCCCCCGCCTCCCCGCCCTCGCAGGCCCCACGCCGCCCCCCGACCCCGGGCCCCGATGCCCCCATCCCCGGCCCGCGGCTGACCCTGGCGCTGGCCCCCGCCCCGCCGCCGCCGCCCTCGCGCAGCCCGTCCAGCACGCTGAGCGGCCCGGACCTGGCGGGCCACAGCAGCAGCGCCACGAGCACCCCCGAGGAGCTGCGCGGCTACGACAGCGGGCCCGAGGGCGGCGCCGCGGCCTCCCCGCCCGCCGACGCGGAGCTCGCCGCCTGCCACCCGGCCGCCTGGAGCCGAGGCCCCGCTCCGCCGCTGGCTGTCCGCGGCGCCCCAGGCAAGCGGCGCTCCCCACGGGGTCGCGGGCGGGGCGGGGCGGCGGCGAAGCCTCGCCCCGGGGCGGGGCAGTAGGTTCCTGGGCGGGGATCGGGGGCGTGGCCTCGAGCGGGGGCGGGACAGTAGGCTCTGGGGCGGGCTTGGGGAGGGGCGTGGCCTAGGGCGGGGCAGTGGGCTCTCGGGCGCGGCTTAGGGAGGGGCGTGGCCTCCTGCTCCGTGCCCAGCGTGGCTTCTCTCCCGGCAGGGGCGCCGCTGACTTGGCCTCCTGCCGCCGGATCGGGCTCGGCTGACGGGCTGTGCACCATCTACGAGACCGAAGGGCCCGAGGCGGCGACCCCCACCCCGGGCGCGCTGGATCCGGGGCCCGGGCCGGGCGCGGGCGGGGGGAAGGCGGGGGCCGGCGCGGGGGCGGGCGCCGCCTCGCGGGGCGCGAAGCCGGCGCGCCTGGGCGAGCTGCCGCTGGGGGCGCTGCAGGCGAGCGTCGTGCAGCACCTGCTGAGCCGCTCGCTGCTGCTGGCGGCGGCCGAGGGCGCCGCGGGCGGCGGCCCGGGGGACGTCGGGGGTGTGGGCGTGGCGGGGAGCGTTCGCACCGCGCTCAGCGATGCCGAGCTGGGCCGCTGGGCCGAACTGTTGTCCCCCTTGGACGAGTCCCGCGCCAGCATCACCTCGGTCACCAGCTTCTCCCCGGACGACGTGGCGTCCCCGCAGGGAGACTGGACCGTGGTGGAGGTGGAGACCTTCCACTGAGCCGGCTCCTCGGCGCCTCGCTCCGCCCCTCCCCCAGCCCTGCCTCTGGACCCGCCCTCCCTGCCCTCGCCGGCAGCCCCTCCCCAGCCCCGCTCTGGCGCCCTGGTTAGTGTCCCAGAGCCCCAGGTGTCTCGCCGGGGTTTGCGACCCTCCACAGTTTTGGACGCGTCTTCTCTCCAGCCCCTCCCGCTCCCTGAGGCCCGCCCCGTGTCTCGTACTGTCTCCGCGCGAAGCCGAGTTTGCAATAAAGCCGGGACGCTGGCGCCTGTGCGCCCTCTGGTCTCCGCCGGGGCCGGGCTGGGGGCTCCCCGCGCTCCCGGGCTGCGCGGACGCGGCGCGGCGCGAGGGAGAGCGAGTTGGGCTCAGGCCGCCTGGGCTCCTCTGCTGAAGACGAGACCGGCTGCGCCGCGAGGGCCTGGGATGTCTCCCAACAATGCCGGATCCCCAGGGTCTGGCCGGGCGCCCCACCCACGAGCGCGGCACACTTCTGGAGGAAACGGTGGGTGCCCAGGTGGGGCCGCGCGGCCGGGTGTCTGAGCAGTGCCTGCTCTTCACGGGTGAACGTGAGCTCCTCCCACGTGGGCCGGGGGCAACGAGGCTCCTGGGGCTGAGAAGACAGGTGAGCAAGGCCCAGTTCTGACCCCAGAGCGAGCGCAGGGACGCATTCCTGAAGGCGCTCTTCGAAGTGCACATCCCCCTTACCTTGCAGGTTCTGGGCTGAGGGAGGGACAGGAGGGAGGGAGGGACCTTTGGCAATTTGGATTCTTTCTTGGGCCTCCCACCTTGGGCCCCTGCTCTGGGTTCAGAGACAGCCCAGCAGAACCTCCAGTGGACCCGCCTGACCTGCCCAGGGCCTGGGGGAAGGCACAGCTCTCCAAGGTTGAGAGGCAGACTGAGGGACTGTTACAGCACCCCTCTCTCCTGGCGTCGTCACTATGTCCCTTTGTGCCTCTCAACTCATGGGCATCACCTTCCCCCAACTTGTTCTCCCCAAGCCCCTTCAGCCAGGCATCCTTGCCTGTGCCCCAGTCAAGGGCGCTCACCACAGCTAACCAGTGTCTTCATCATCACCACCTATCAGGTTCCTCCCCCTTCCTCCCACTGCCCCTGTAGTCCCTTAAGCTAAGCCTTCTCAGGTCCTCCTTCCCAAGTGCCCCTGCAGGAAACCCCCCAGTTCCATGGGGAGCCCCACAAAGGAATCTGCCCACGCTATCCTTTCATCAGTGATGTACCTCCTGCTGGTTCCTGCCTCTGTTGGAGACTGCTTGTCACCCACCTCCTCCTCCAGATAGCCTTCCCTGATTTCCCTGCACATTCATCTAATGGCCACTTAACACACTTGCAGGCAGACTCAGCCCCCACCCCATTCTGGTGTTTGTTTTCTACACTAAACTTGGGGGCCCCTCAGAGCCAGGCATAGGGTGGGGTACTCAGAAGGTCTCAGGGAGCATGTGCTGAGTAAATGTCACCAGATTCTGCATCTTCCTGAGGCCCTGAGACAACCCCCCCCCCCACACACACACGTGTCTCAACAGAAGCCTAGTTGAGTTGCCCAGGTGGGAAATCACCCCAGCCCTCCTCACCCACGCCTCTCCTGAGCCACTCTTTCCCAGACTCCATGTGCTAAGGGCTCATCAGATATCTGGGTTTCTCTGATTTGTTTCCCCTAATGGACCTGTTTGGCCCAGCTCCCACACTTCGGCTCATGCTGGGCCAGTGCACGCCCTTCTTTACTTTCCCTTCCTGACTTCAACGTGGGCAGCCTCTCTGGCCCCTGTGGCCTGCTGTCATCTCCACCCCTGGTTTTGTCCTGCCTGGGAGGCTCCCAAGAGCAAGAGCTCCCCCTGGCACTGCTTTGAGGGACAAGGAACTGGGGAACCAGGCTGCTGGCTACTCCTAGGCTGGCCTCATTCAGCGTCCCTCGTCTGCGACTGTGTAAATACACTTTATTTTCCATCTTTCCCGCCTGGGCAACATGTGGAGTGTGAACAGGCAGTGTGCAAAATGGTGGTGGGCAGTGTGGGAGAGCCCCTCGGATGCCCACCCTGGTCCCCAGGCTTTGTAACACTGAGGAGTGGGTGACCAGGAAGGGGGTACTGAGCATGGATCCCTACCCCGGGACGTGACAGGAAATTGCTTGTGACACCACTGCTTGCGGCTCCAGGAGCACCGAGAGGGTCAGCCCAGAAGGTCGTGGAGCCCAGAGAAGCGGTCTGGGGACACTGTTGGACTTTGGCACCAGTCTCAGCTCTGAATCAGCAGGGACCAGGAGGCGGCGAGGGCTGGCACCCCCACTGGGAAGTGTCCTCTCCTGGGGCCTGGCCTAGCCTGCGGGTGGGGCTGGGACCACAGGGAAGTGGAGGCTGGGGACCCCCTGGAGAACAGGCGAGCCTGGGTGGGGGCCCCTCATCACTGCCAAGACGGGTGATGGGAGTGTTTCACAGAGGAAGATGTGAGGTGGGGGGCACTGAGGAGAGGGCGTTTCTTCACTTCCTCAAAATGGCTCAGGCCCCCTGAGAACCAGGACAGGCACTGCCCAGGCCTGGTGGTTCCCTCTGGCCATGCACACCCCAGGTGGATCTGCACACAGTATGGGGGGACTTTGGTTTCTGCTGCAGGGGCAGCGCTGCCTGCACCAGGCAGGAAAGCCCGGTCTGGTCACCTGTCCCCTGTGGCCAGGCGTCCCCAGGGGCTCCTGGGGTGGAAACACCCACCCAGCGTGGCCCCGTCTTCCTCGGGTCTCCTGCAGCTCCGGGCCCTTCCTGGCCAGGCTGCCCTTGTCCCAGTAGGAAAGCTTCTGGGCGGAGGGAGCGTCTTGCTCAGCGAGTCCTGGGGCCTCTGTGTCATCCCTTGCCCTCGATGTTAAGAGGGGACGACTCTCCAGGTAACTGGCACAGAGAGCTCTGGGACCAGACCAGGAGGGCCTGGGCTGAGATGGGTAAACACTGCTGGGAGGGTGGGTGTGCCAGGGACCCTGAGGATCCTCAGGCTCCAGCCCGACCCTCTGAACCCTGCCTCGCTGGACCTAATCCTCAGGGTGGGCTGTGGGCCGAACCGTGGAGGACGTGGAGTTCCTTAAGTACAGGCCACCAAAGGCCCCCGGTGCCCCTGGTGGCGGCCCCCTGGCTCTGGCCACTCGGGGCATGGGCTCAGTTGTCCAGGCCCTGGCTAAAGGGCGTGGCCAGCTCGTCAGCGTCACTGTCTGAGCTGCCCTCACTGTCCTTGGCCGGCCGCTCCAGGCGCCGGAAGAAGCGGGCGTCTTGAGGGGACAGGGGGTAAAGCGCGTCCTGCAGCGCCGCGCCCACACCCACGCCGAGCAGCTCCTCGTCAGAAGACGGCAGCGAGTCCTCGTCCAGGTGCCGCGCCAGGCTGAGCCCGTCAAAGGCTAATGGGTCCTCGAAGGGTGGCGGGCCCTTCAGCAGCCGCACCTGGGGGGGGACCGGGCGCTGGAGGGTGGAGTTGGGCCACCTGAGACCCTCTTCTCCCACTGTCCGAGGCTCTAAGCCCGCCTGCCACTGGCCGAGGACACCCAGGGCTCCTACGCAGCTCCGGGGCCACCCTGTGCTCACCTCCGCCTTCAGCTCCTCGATCTGGTCCTTGAGCTCGCGGATGTACTGCGAGGAGTCGGAGTGGTTCAGCTGGCCTTGGATGCGGCCCTCTTCCCTCTGCGGGCGACCCGGCCAGGTCACGGGGCGGGGCAGGGCTTCTCCCCAGGCTCACCCCACCCTGGCCCGCCGCTCACCTGGATTTCCAGCTCGGCGATGCGCTGCCGCATCTCGGCCACTGCGGCCATACTGTCCGCCTCCCGCAGGCGCACCGCCATCACCTCCTCCTTGCTCTGGGGGTCAGGGAGAGAGGGCAAGTCAAGGGGTGAGGCTGGCGCCGCTGGGCGGAGCCCCGGGCAAGGGCGGGGCCGCGGGGGGCACCTTGCACTCGGCCTCGGCTTGCTTGCGTCGGCTCTCGCTGAGCTGCGTCTGCAGCCCCTTGTTCTGCGCCGCCAAGTACTGCAGCTTCTCCTGCAGCGCCGCGCGCTCGGCCTCCACGCGGTTCAGCAAGTTGCGGTGAATGTGGTCCTGCGGGGAAGCGGACGGGGGTCACAGCCAGCGGGTGCCGCCGGACGAGCCCCTGCCCTGGGTGCTGGCGTCGGGCCCCCGCAGGCCTCCGCTGCCCACCTGCGTTTCCAGCTCCACCACGCGCTGCCGGAGCTCCCGGCCGTCGGCCAGAGCCTGGGCCTCGCGCAGACGCACGCTCATCAGCTCGTCCTGCAGTTCGCCGAGGACCAGCTTCCGCGGGGACTCCTTCCAGCGGCCACCACGGGACAGGTGGGCCTACGGGGGAAGTCGAGGTTAGCCCAGGCAGGGGCACCTTGGGGCTGCGGACTCCAGAGGATCCCTGAGGGGCCTGGGGCGTGGCCCTCACCTGCCAGGTGTCGGAAAGCTCCTGCAGCTGCAGCTTCAACTCCCGCACTGAGGCCACGGCCTCACCCTCTCGGACCTTGAGGGCCTTCAGCTCCTCCTGCAGCCTCGCCACGTTGTTCTCATCAGGCAGTGAGCTGTTCCTCTGTGGGAGGGGAGGGGGTCAGAGCGTGGGGAGGAGGCCCAGCTGCGCTCCTACCTGCAGGATGCAGAGCCCCACCCCGCATTTCCTCAGTTCCACTTCCCGGGATCCGGGATGGGCGCATCTGGCACCTTGGATCCCAGGAAATGCTAGAAACTCAGCCCCTACCTACATGCTCCAGCCGAAGATCCTGGTCTGTAAAAATGGGTGTAATTACAGCACCTGACAAGGCTGACCTGGGCAGGACCAGCAGGGGCATGAGGGGCCCCATAAATGCTACTGCGGACAACACCAGGCAGGCTAGGCTGGGGCAGGAGCAGCCGGGAATCTAAATCTACCCCTCAGGGCCCATGACCTGCCTGCCCCCTGTCCCAGCAGGGTAGGGACAGCCCCTCCTGGGGACGGGCTGAGGCTAGTGCGGGGCTGGTCCTGCCCAGGCACGGGGGTGTATGCTGAGTCTCTTGGACTTAATCCCGCTGGCTGTGTGAGGCCCTGGCTGACCTTGTTTGGGTCTGGGGCTCGGGGCAGTGGGACCTACTGGGTGCACATCTCCCTCTGACATGGAAGGAGTCCCTCTGGCACGTTGGAAGTCCAGTTCTGAGCTGGCTGTTGGGGACTGAAAGGCTGATGACCCCACCTACGACTGGCAGAGACACTGGGATGGCACCTGTAGGGTAAGTAAGGTGTCAGGCTTTTCTGCCCTCCGGCCATTAGGATTGATGATGGATCCCTGCGGTCCTGAATGCATGCCTGAATGCACGGCACCTGGAGTCAGGTGTGGGCATATGTAGGTGGGATACACCTGGGCTGAGACTGGGCTTATAAGGGCGGCCAGCAGAGCGAGAGGAGCGGAACAGAAGACCAGTAGGAGAGAGAGAATGAGACCATGAGAGAACGCTGGAGAGCCCAGAAAAAGTGAAGACTTGCTGGGGGCTGGGAGGCCTGCCAGCCCCCTGGCACCCCTGCCTGCCGCATACCTGGTAAAATCCCAAAAAAAGCCTGAAAAGCCACTGAGGGCTCCAGGACTCTTCCACCCATCTGCTCGAATTGTAGAGATCCTGCCCTATGGCCATCCCACCGCCACACACCCCAAATGGTGTGGGTGGGGGTGGGCATGGCCCCTGCCACTGTGAGTGGGCCCTGCTGCCCTCGGGTGGCCAGGCACCTCGGCCGGCTATTCTGTGTGGGAGTTGAGTCACTTCCGATTCAGCCTAAAGCAGCTGGAGAGGAGCCCAGGAGGCCCGGGGCTCCCTTTAGCGCTGCAGGCAGGAGGGGCTGGCCTCCAGTCTGCCCCTGGTGGTGTCTCCATGGGTTGAAATGGGGTGGCAGAAGCAGCCCTGACAGGCCTGGACCCCTCTCCCTCCTGCCATCCGGACCCTGGGGGCTGGGGCAGACGCCCTGTCCAGAAGCCCGTGAATACCAGCACACGGCTGGCCCTGTGCCTGCGGGGTCTGCAGCCTGGCCCTGGGAAGCAGGCTGCTTTGTATGTGCAGTGCGTGTGTGAGTGTGTGTGCTCATGCGTGCATGCATGGATCGCCAGGGCTGGGAGGGTGTGGAGATGCGGGGCCCAACTTCTCACCTGCCCAGATAGGGCGTGGAGGCCGCAGGGAAGGGAGAGGGCTCGCGTGGGCTGGGGAATGCTCTGGGTTCCCCAGGGGCTCGAGGTGGGGAAGGCCGTGGTGGAGGGGTCTGACTCCAGGATGCGCCCCACAGTCCCACTGGCTGCCCCTGATTCTTGGCTGGGGCCTGGTCCTGTACCCCCAGTGTGCCCAGTCCCTCCACCTCCCCTTCCCCAGAGTTTCCCCAGCACTGGCCGGTCGAACCTTCTCCATGTCTAGAACTTTGTCCTGCATCTCCCGCAGGGCGCCCAGCGTCTCCGTCTCCCGTAGCCGTGACTGCTCCAGCTCAGTCTCCAGGTGGGCCACGAAGTCCTCGGTGAGGCGAGGGTTATCCTGGGGGCAGGCAGAGGGTTGCATGGGCCCAGGCCGTGGCCGGAGGGTGGGCAGCCTTCCTGCTAGCCGGCTGTGGGCTCGGGCCTGTTCCCTCCCCAGAGCCCCTGAGCTAACATGGGCTCAGACAGTGGGCAGGGGGAGATGAGTCTCATCGTGGGGCCCTGGTGCTCTGTGCTAGGGACCTGACACCCCCTGGACTGACCTCACTTTCTTCCTGGAAAAGCCACACACAGGGGACCTTCTGAAGGGGACCTTCCGTGGCCTCATGATGCCCTCTGAGGGATGCCAATGACTGCTGCCCGGGATGGCTGGGGTGGGGGTGGAGGATGGGTTCTCTGAGACATCCTTCCTGCTGGGTGGTCAGTGGCCTAACACTGTGGGGCGGGAGTAGGATGGGGCTCAGGGCTTTGGAGATCCTGTCCCTCCTCCGCCAGCCTCCTCTCACCCTCCTTCCCCCATTTCGAAAAAGGCAGTGACAGGAGAGTATGTTGCTGGGATCACTTTCTTGTTGAGTGCACAGAGCTTCTCAGAGGTACCCTAGTGGGCCAGCAGGGGTGATGGGTACCATCTGGGCCCAATACAGGAGATGCGGCTGATGGCTGAGGCAGCTCCTGGGGCCAGAATCAGCTTCCCATCTTGCTGCCCAGTGGCCTGGCAGGGCAGTTCTCTTGGAGGCTGCCCCAAGCCTCCTGGCCACCCCTCCTTCCCCAGAGGGGCCTCCTGCACCGGCCTGCCCAGGCCTGCTCGCTGCCCTCGGCTGCAGTGGCCTGAGCTCAGTGGGTGCCAGTGGCCCTCGCTGGGGTCTGGGCCCAACACAGAGCCTAGGCCCTCCTGGGCTGCACCTCCCCCATGAGCCTCCCCCAGAGACTCAGGGGCCTGTCACCACACTGTCCTTGCTGCCTGCAGTCGCCTCCCTGCTTCAGCACCTCAGCATTCCCTAAAGGCCAGAGCTCAGCATGGCAGGTGATTGGCAGAGAAGAGGCTTCATGTCATGGATGGGATGACCCACCCTCAGTTTCCCACTCGATGCCAAGTGGGGCTACAGCACCCGCAGGCTGAGGGCTGCCGTGCAGGGGCCAGCACCCCCACACACTCTGGCTCCTGAGGGGGACACGGGGAGACTTGGTGAAGCTCTGCCTGCCTCCCCAGGAGCAAAGATCATCTCCTGAGCCAAGGTCTCCAGGTCTGGGGGCAGGAGGAGACCCTTCTCCACAAATTACTCTTCTACCCACTGTTTCTTGAGCCCTGGCTAGCTTCTCCAGGTCAGGGAACCCACCTCACTGTTATGCCCTGCGGGTTCTGCCCCGAGGAGGGCTGGGTGGGCTGGGGGCCTATAGCATCTTCTCCTGTCCCTCCAGGGTGTCTGCATGGGCATGTGCACTGCGCTTGGGCCCCCCTCCAACTGCTTCTGGGTTATCAGATAAGGAAGGTGACCTGGGTGCAGCTGGAGAAAACTCTGAACGCTTCCTCCGGGAGAGCGCCACCTTTGTGCAGGGCTCAGCCCTCCCACCCTTGGGCCCGGGCTCATGACCACACATCAGATGTGAGTGTGCCCCTCACCCCTACCCTGCCAGCTCAGAGCAGTGGGCACAGCCCCGACCTTCTGAGGGCAAAGACCTGGGCACTGGGGGAGAGAGCTCCTCCCAGCTCCTCCCCTGCATGGCCTGCCACGGGGAGGCCCACTCGCCCATCAGGCTCTGGGGAGACACCAGGGTTCCCTCAAAGAATCAGAATCCCATCAGTCAAGAGATGGGGGCCAAGCAGGGACAGCCTGGTTTCCAGGAGCCCACTGTGCCAAGGAGGCCAGGGAGGCAGACTGCCTTGGTTCAGTGTGGCAGGAGAGCCCCCCACAGGGTGGTGGGAAATAGAAATTGCAGGATACAACTGCCTTCCCCCCACCTCCCCCCCGGCTCCCCTTGTGGGGATGCTCCCTGCAGGGTGGCGCTGGGGATTTTGGGGTCTGTGCTGCGCTAGGCATTAGGCTCACCCTCCTCGCCTGCCTCACCAGGAAAGGCACGCGTGCGTGCGTGTGTGCGTGTGTGTCTCTGAGATGGGCAGATCTCAGTTGCTCCCTGGCAGCCAGGCAATTGGTTGAAGGCAGCCAGGCAAGGGGCCTAGTACCTGCTGTTCCTGCAGTTGCCGGATGGTGCTCTGGGCCTTCTGCAGGTCTTCGGCGGCCGAGCTGCACTGCTGCCGCGCCACTGCCAGCTCCCGCTTGATGACGTAGTTCTCCTCGGCCTCCTGGGCCCGAGTCACCTGCCCCTGAGCACAGCGAGGATGGGGTGCTGTGACTGCTCACCCAGGCCCCGCAAGGGCGGAGGGGGCAGGAGGGAGAGGAGTGAGGTTGCCCACAGTCAGAGCCTGGGACGGGGCCAAAGGGCCTGCGTGTGTGGATGGGGTGGGCCGGAGTAGGACACCAGGGGACCGGGAACAGGACCCAGACTGGTGGGGAGGTGAGGCCTGTGGCCCGGGCTGCAATACAGACAGCCCCTTCCCCTCCTGCTTCTCTTGAACTGTCCTTTATGAGTCAAGAGAGGGGAGACAAGACCTTAGCCAGAGGCCAGGCTCTGCTGGAGAGGGTGGGTGCCCGAGGCCATGGAGGCCTGGGCTCAGGACTGGTGCAGCCCAGTGTGGGAGGTGGAATGTACCCCTTCTCCAGGCTTGACTTGGGGCCCCCACCTGCCTGGGGTTAGACACTGCCCGCCCCGTTATCTTTCCTTCACCCCACCCAATCTTGGGCCCCATTCCAGGTTTGGTGCCACCAGGCAGTGGGCAGAAGCTTCCAGATAAAGCCATTCAGGACAAGGCAGCGGCAAAGCAGGTGAGTGAGAGAAGATGGCAGGCCTTTGGGTAGGAGCAGAGAGGGGCGCCAGAGGCCAGAGGGCACATGTGGATGGCAGGGAGGAGGGGCTCAGCGGGGTGCAAATGCCAGGGACTCCGAACCCTCCTGGGCCCCCACCTGTGTCCCTTGGAGGGAGGAAGCAGTGTTCATGTGCAAGTACTTACACTCGGACACACGCACAGGTGCTTGCCACGCTTCCCCCCTCCCCAGGGAAGCCTCTGACTCCCTGAGAAGAGGCCCCAGCCGCCCCCATGCGCTGTGCCAGGCCTGCCCCTCTTGCCCCCAGGATGGCAGCGGCCAGGGAAGAGGCGGTTACTGGCTGGTGTGTGCGGGGGCCCTCGAGGACGTGGGAGAAGCAGACAAAAAGCTACAGTACCTGGATTAACCTATCAGCCAGAGCTGCGCTCTCCTACCGGGCGGGGGGGTTCCGAGCGGCAGGGGAGGACGCAGAGCAGAAGGTGCAGGGACAGGAGGGAGAGACAGAAAGAACCACTTGTCACTAACGCAGTGGACTACCTCTAGAAGCGGGAGAGCGGAGTGAGACCGAGAACCAGAGAGCAGCGGAGAGGACCCAAAGGAAGACCAAAGCTAGAGTCTGCTCCATTCTGGAGAGGGGTCTGTGTGAGCGGAAGGTGGCCGCCCACGGCTGCACCCCGCCAGGCCCCCCTCGGGGCTGGGGAGGCTGGGGTGGGCGGGGAGAGCCCGGTGCTGTGGCCTCACACATCAGTGAGGGGGGCATCCCCAGAGGGGGAGGGGCTGGGGTGGCAGTGCCGGGTTGGGAGGGTGTGGATTTAGAGATAGAACAAGAACAGAGGCTTTGGGGTGAGGGCAATAAAGCCCTGGGAATGACCTACTCTCTCTGGCCAGTGGAGGGTCGTGGGAGGCGAAGTGAGGGGCTCTGCCTCTACTCCCATCTTTAAAAAGAGGTTGAGGTCCAGGGTCAAGGACAAGGCACCCCTTCAAGGTTACCCCCTCCTCCTCCATCTCCTTTCTTTTGAGAGTTAGACTTCCAAATTATAGGGTGGGGTGCTTTGTGGCCAGTTAAGGGGCACCTTAGTCAATGTAGGGGTTCTGTCCCCTGCCCCCCATAGCGACCCGGGAGGACAGGCCCAAAAATCATCACAGTGTTTGCAGTGAACCAGACTGTAACTCAGCCTCACGCCCCCTGGGGAGTTTCTCCACAGCCCCGAGCTCAGGGGAGCTCGGGTGGGGCTGTGGGGTTCACCGTGTGCCCCTAGACACCCTGGGTCAGGGTGGGCCCGGGCCAGGGCAGGCGTTTGGCAGGCCCTGTGGCTGCTGGGTCCTGATTGGGCCCGGAGGGTTCTGGGCCACAGGCTGAGGCCAATACCCTCACCTTCTCCAGGGTCTCAATCCGCTGTTTCAGGAGCCGGTTCTCTGTCCGAAGCCTCTGTGGGGGAGAGGGGAGAAGGCATCAGAGCCCGCCTCCCGCACCCCCTGCGGGCACGCGCTGCCTGGGCCTAGGCCACCTGCAGGCAGGGGCCGGGTCTTGCGTTCTGGGCCAGGTCCCCTTTCAGAGTGGCCTGTTCGTTCTTTTAAGAACCACATTTTGCTTCAGGAAAAGTTAACGTGAGCCCTTTGCTGACGGCACCGCGTGAGGCTGGGCGGGCAGCACTGCTGGTACGGACGCGTCTCGGGAGCGAGATGGGCGACAGCAGGCAGTGTCTTGTCACTCCCCGGGCTGGCCAGGCCAGGCATAGATCTCTGTCTTCCGGGCACCTGGAACCAGAGGCCCGACCCCCAAGCGCAGCTCCCGATGGCTTTGCCGGTCTCTGGCCCCCACCCACGGCTGCACGCGCAGAGCTGTCTCGGAGGAGTTGAATGTGCCTGACCCAAAACTTGCCCCTCTTGTTTACTCTAGAGGCAAAGTAAGAGAGAGCGGGCAAGGAGTGGGGGGGCCTTGTGCTAATCATGTTTTATTTAATTTTTAAATTATTCTGTATTTTCTGATGCGCTGACTTCCGGGGCTTGGCTAACCCCGGAGAGACGGCCCCTCAGGGCCAGCTGACTCCCAGGAAGCGAACCACGCTAGGCTTCTCACGGATGCCAGCCAATCCAGAGCCCAAACCCCCCCAAGCCATTTCCCTGACCTATATCAACCCAGGGCCACGACCGCTGGAGATCACTCCTCTAGCCCAGAGTTTATAAAATGATTAAAAAAATACACTCTAAGTTCGCTCACTCTGGCCTGCCCTGCCTCCTCCACGCCTTCCCCTGGCGATCACAGCAGACTCCCTCGTGCTTCCCGTGTCACCCCTGCCTCCTGCCTGGCCCTGGCATCTTGTGTGTCCCCGCAGTGTGACACGCTTCCTCCTCCTGGGAACTGTAATAAGTTCTTCTTTCAAAGGCAGTTGTCTCTGTATCTGTCCTTTTCCCCTACCTGATCAAAACCAAGCACAGGTACATTTAGGGCAGGCCAAAGGCGAGAGAGCAAGGGGCAGGGCCTGGAGAGAAGGCCTCTGCTGAATCCTTACAGCCTATGGGCACTCAGGTGGGGAATTTCCATGTGGTCTTGGTTTGCCGCGTCCCTCCCTCCAGCTGGGCCCCCAGGGTCACCAGATGGAGTGGCCTGTGCCTACGTGGGTAAGACAGACCCGCACATTTGGACTGGTGATGGTCAACTGTCATTCCTGAAATAGCCGCAACTCAGGACACACTGTTCCTGGAAAACCTCCGAACAGGGACAGTGGTGCACGCTTCCCCCTCCGGTATGGGTGGCAGGTGACCTGGATTCTAATCCAGGTTCTATTTGTGCCTTTCTAGAGGCGGGATGATGGTGGTGGTAGCATCCGGAATAGCAGTGGTGATAATAATGAGGCTAACAATGGGAACAGCAGACTGAGTATCATACCCATTTTGTAGAAGGGGACACCAAGACTCAGAGAGGTGAAGTCACCTTCCTGATCACAGCTGGTTCGTGGCAGAGCTGGAACATGAACCCTGGTTTGGGGGACTCTGCCTCTGAACAGGACAGAGCCAGGCTATGCTGGGGTTTGTGTTCATGTCTGTTCCCACCCCCAGAACTGGGAGGCCCTCATTCTCTGCCACGACACTATTGCATAGTAGGTGTTGCGCGATAACAGAGCACCTGTGAAGGGGTGAACCAGAGGAAAAGAGAGTGGGGGGTCTGAGTTTAGAGGTTCTGCATGCTCAGGAACCCCTAAACCTAGCAGGGCTGGTGGGCTAGTCACCAGAACCAGGGACCATTGAAGGCATCTCTCCCTGCAACTGGCCCCTTCTGCTTTGTTTCTCCCCCCTTGTCCCTGAGGTGCAAGGTGTCCTCGATATTCCTCCAGCCCACCAGGTCCACTGCTACTCGGGCCTTGGGTACTGACTCCCTGGGCCCAGAGCAATTGCCCTGGGCCAGCTCTGTCCCTCGCCTGTGCATCTTTGTCTAGAGCATTCTGCAGCTGCCTTACTCTATGAGCTCCCCACTGCAAGGGAGTTCCCACTACAAGGGGAAGCCCTTGCTCACACCTGTCTGGTGGTGAATGAAGGGGTGGGGCAGGAGGCCCAGCCCTGCCGAGATGTGGAGTGTGGTGTGCAGCTTGTGCTGGGCAGGGCTGCCCCCTAGCGGTTGAGTTAGGCCTGCCAGCTGGGAGGGGCACTCCGGAGGGTGTCCTGTCCGTGCCACTCCATGCGAGGGACTCACTTTGATCTCAATCTGCTCCTCCATCTCCTTGCTCTTCATGGCCGCATACTCCTTCTCCAGCCTGCAGAGGGGCCGATGTGGTCACCTTCCCAGTCTTGGGGAAACCCTTTCCACCAGTACCTCGACCACCCAGTACTGACCTCTTCATTTTCTTGGGGTTGTACTTGACCTGGTAAGCCTTGAGGATCAGCTTGTCAGGACAGCTGTCGAACTGGTGGGGGATCACCCTCTGGAAGTACTGTGGGGACACAGGTGGTTGTCGACACGTGGCCCTAAGTGCAGGGGGTTGCTGAGCCCCTGTGGCGCCGCTTCCCCAGGTGAGGCCCTGGGTGTGCCAGGAGCAGGGAAGAGGTGGTCTCCCTGGGGCATCCTGCGTCTCAGTGTGACAGGCCTGCTGCTGTGGGCCTTCTGCCACTGTGGAACGTGACCGTGGTGGGGAGAGGAGCTGTCTGCGGTCAGTGTGCAGGGGGCATTGGCTGCCAGAGCCCAGAGGGTGAAGTCTGAGCAGAGGGGACCTGGGTAGAGGCAGGGGGAGCAGGATGCTGCCCCGGGCAGTGATTCCACACCACCCATTCAGTCGGGATCCAGAAAAGACCAAAGGTTTCAGAGTCAACGCACAAGAGCAACCCCAATGGAAGACCTGTCAGGGGTCTGCCCATCCCCGGGGTCCTCTGGAGCCTCTGCAAAGGGTTAAGCACAAGCCGCCAGTGGACACAGCTTGCTGCAGTTTGGGCCAGAATGGCTCCCGATCCCCAGCCCAGCTGGCCCCCCTGGCAGCTGTGGACAATGGCTGCCCGTGTTCGTGAGCACAGCCGTGGCCTTTGTGCATTCTTCCCCAGAGCACCAGCTGGGGATGTTGGGAGGGGGCAGGGCCCTGTGGCCAGGATGTGGTGGCGAGAAGCAGCCATTTCTTTAGCGGCAGGCAGTGCAGCCAGAACACGGGCCCGGGCGGGGCCGGGCAGGGTGTGAAGCTGCCTTAGGTCCCTGACTTCCTCCCGCGCCCTCGCCAGGCCAGGTTGCAGGGACAAAACCGCACCCAAAGCCTCATGGTTTGGCGGGTGTTACTGTTTGCCTGTGGGGGTATTTAGCCCATTAGGCTTGGGGGACCTGGAGGCAGGAGGTCCTCTCCCCACTGCCAGGCTGCTGGCCCTGGGCTGAGCCTGCTGAAGCCTGCATTCCCCAGGGCTGCCCTGGCTCTCCAGGGAGGTCTTGGGGGACAGAGGTGATGGGCCAGGATCAGGGATGTTCAGGAATGCCTTTCCCCTCAAAACTGGTTCTCCCTGGCCTCTCAGGAGGGCGTCAGCTGCCCAGTGCCCCTCCTGGGGGCGGAGTCCACTTGCCTTGGCCCTCCTGGCCTACCTGGGACATCCCCTCCATGTCCAGCTGCATCAGCTCCGACTGGTTCACCTGCAGCAGCGCGAGACCCACCCGGAACACAATCTCCAGGCCCTGCAGAGGTGGGGTGGCAGTGGGTCTCTGCTCCTGCTCCCCCCAGAAGCTCTCTGGCCCCTCCCCAAGCCCTGGCCCTTGCCAAGACCAGTTAGGAGTATTTCCAGTGCGGTGTCTTCCAGAGGGGCATGGGCTTCTTACCTCATACATGAAGATGTCAAAGACGCGGGTGGCCACAGGCAGTGGGAAGGTGGTCAGGAAGAGCGTGAGGAACCAGGATGAGGCGTACATGGAAGTGTGGAAGCTCTGGGAGCGGAAGTGGGTGTTCAGGTCCGGGAGCTGCTCCTGTGGGTGGGGAAGGGGCTGCACAGTGAGGGGCAGGGCAGTACTGTCTGGGCCCACAAGCTACCCCCAACCCGAGTGCTGGGCCTGGGTGCTCTTTTCTCTAGGGGGCCTTCCCTGACCTGCCTCAGGACTTGGTTCTGACCCTCAAGCTACTGCTGGCACTGAGTCTGGGTGAGGCGAAGGGCCCTGAGGCTCTGAGCAGAATGCGGTGGGGACACGGGCAGGGGTGGCAGGGGTGGCAGGGGTGGCAGAGGCTAGTGCTAGGAATGCGCCAGTACAACTGCTCATGGGTCCTCATGACTGCCCTGAGAGGGAGCTTTTGAGGCTCAGGCTGGTTCACAAACTCCCCAGGTTCACCTGGAGAGAGAGAAGTGGGGTATGGCATGAGTCCACTGCTGCTCAGCCCACATTTAATGATGTGCCAGGTGCTGTGTCCCCCACAGCCCCCCGCAGAGTGCTCAGGGGAATCTCAACTTCAGGCTCCTGAAAAGTAACACAATCTGGGGAAACTGAGGCTGTAGAAGGCGTTAGCACTCTCCTGTGAGAATAGGTTCTCAGACTGACCCCCACTTGACCCAGGCATCGCCTCAACCCCGGGCTCTCTGGTGCCATCCATCTGCTTTGCTGTGGGAGGTCTCAGCTACCCAGCCTGGGCTGGGGTCACTTTTCTGTGCGCCTGAGGCCACCTGCCCAAACAACCACGTTCCCTCAGCAACAGACCTTCTTGTCCTCCAGTCCCCAGCAGGAGGCTCTCATGCTCACGTCCAGATGTGTGCCTGGGCTGCAGCGTGGAGGTCAAGGTTCCTGCCTCCCAGCATCCTGCCCCCAGCTGCTCAGCCCCACCAGGGCCGGGCGTGTGCGTGTGTGCTTGTGTGCGTGTGCGCACGCTGGCTTGGTCTGCCAGCCAGGAGCGGGCCCTGCGGGGGCTGCTATTTATAAACAGAACCGTCTGCAGCTCTCCTCTAGGATCAGCAAAGGCAGGCAAACAGCACTTTCCCTGCTTCCTTCCACCATACCCAGGGCGGGCTGGGGCGGGTGGTAGGTGTGTCTGATGAGAGCTCCCTGCTCTGAGGGGACCCTCACCACTAGTCACCAGCCTCTTCCCCATCCCTCGAAGCATCCTCGGGGCAGTGACAGAGGCCCACAGGGACAGGAGCCCCCTTCTCAGCTGGGACATTCGGATGTGACTGCTCAGTCCTGGCATGTTCAGTCACAGAGGCCCCCGGGTGCTTGGGGTGCCGCTTGGGGAGGGTGGGCGCAAGGCCCCTCACCTGCAGCATGTACTCGAACTGATAGATGCAGAGGCCCAGCTCAGCCATGCTGGGCTTGAACAGCTCCCGCAGGCGGTACTCCTGCATCAGCCGCACGAAAACGCAGAAGGCCTCCTCCTCGGGCATCTTGTGGGATAAGCAGGTAGGAGGGAACTGTGAGCCTGGCAGGTGCCAGGGACACTCACTCCTCATCTTCAGGCCCTGCTGCACTGTGCTCCCTGTTTTTTTGTTTTATTGAACATAAACTGTGCTGGGCTGCCCAGACTCTCGCAAGAGCACTGGCACATGGCAGACCCGATTTACTGACGGAAAAATCTCCCTGGGCCAAAGGTGACCTGGCAGGAACCAGAGGAGCTGGAGCTTGCACCCCAGGTATGGCCACCTCCAGAGCCCCTGTCTGAGACACCCCCCAGTCCACCCCCTGTGTCTCTGTTCACCACCAGCCCCACAAATACCATCACGGCATTCGCTCGCCTGAGCCACACCCAAGTTCCTCATCCAACCCTGGGCGTAACCAGTAGGATGGCCTCCCCTCCAGCCCCTGACTGTCATGGGCAGGGCAGGGCAGGGCACAGGGCAGGTGGTGGCAGGGGGCTTGGCCCCGGAACTGTCCAAGGTGTCCTAGGTGAATGGCGAGGAAGGCTTGGGATAGAGGGACCACTGCTTTTGTCCTCTTGGGCTCAGAGCCTGGCAGGCTGCTCCCGGCCACCTACCTGCATGAGGAGCAGGCCCACGATGAAGGCACTGCCCTGACAGTAGCCCACTTCCCGGTCCACCAGAGAGTACGCCTGCAAGAGAACACAGTGCGTCAGGGAGGGCTCCTCCCTGGTCCAGAGGCAGCACGCCCATGTGGGAAGAGTTCCTCACGCGGGGCCAGAAGCCCTGGGCCCCACCTTCATGACGTTGAAGAGGACCTCCTGGCCCAGGCTGTCCTGGCCCTTGAAGAACTCATGCTCCGGGTAGGTTCGGGCGATGTCCCTGCGGATCAGCTTCTCGCACGGCGAGGACATTTTGAGCAGCTCTGAGTACTGGTTCTTGACGGGCATGTCTGTGGCGCTGCACAGGAGCTGCCACACGATGGCCCGGAAGTGGTGCGGGATTCCCTTGCGGATCAGCTCCTGGCAACGGGATGGGGCGGGGGTGGGAGGCTGGGCTGGAGCCCAAACCAGGGCAGCTTCTCCCCGACCACCCAGTCTAGCCTCTGAGCAGGAGCTTGCCCACGCCTCAGCTGAGTCACCACGCTTAACGTGCAGCCCCCGAGTCTTCATGGAACATCGCGGGACAGAAAACGAACGAGATGTCAGTGCAACAGCCGCTTGCTGGGCCAGCCCCAGCCACATTCCCTCCTCCCTCAGCCCAGCAAGGTGCCTTCAAAGTGCCCGCACATTTCTACTTCTGCCCCTTGGCCAGGCTGGGGCTTGGCAGGCCCTGGCACTGACGCCTGGTGGCCAAGTGACTGGGCCGGTTGCTTGGCGTCTATCCCTGCCTACACGCCCAGCCACCCAGCCGTCCCGCTGCCCCTGCCACCTTGAGAAGCTTCTCCTTCCTGCGCCGCCACTCCTCCCACTCATTGGCGATCCGGCCCCACAGGATCCATGTGTCTTCCTCCAGGTGGCTCAGGTTAGAGGAGGCTGAGGAGCTGGACACCAGTGAGGAGCCGCTGTTTCTCCGGGAGCCGTTCATGGAGCGCATGGACTTGGAGTCGGCTTCCAGGAGCCTGGGCAGGAGGGGAGATGGGTATGCGCCTGGGGAGTGGGCCCCTCCTACACCATCCCCTGGGCTCCAGTGACTCTGGGGATGGGGGTCTGCTGGGGAGCTCGGCCGCCCCTCCAAGGAGTGGCAGAGGCCACCAGGGTCTGGGTTTCAGTTGTTCTGGCTGAGGGGTGGTGCTGCTTGGCCAGCGCCCTAGCTTCCCTGAGCCACGCCCTTGTCCCCCGGCCTGGAGAGGCTTCCTCCACTTGTGTGTTCCATTCTGTGCCCAGAGCTGGGCCGAGACCATGTGGATCAGCTCACTTAGTCTCACACAACCCTACAGGGCAGGTTTTGTTAAGATCTACACTTCAGACATTCCTCCTGAGACACACAGATGGCCAACAGGCCCGGGAAAGATGTTCCTCCTTGCTCATCGTCAGAGAAGCGCAAATCAAAACCACAATGAGAGCCCCTCACACTGAGGGGCTATGATATAAAAGACCAGAAACAACAAGTGTTGGAGGGGGCGAGTGGACCCTTCGTGCGTTCTTGGTGGGGAGGTAAGTGGGCGCTGCCACGATGGAGCACAGTACAGAGATCTCTCAAGAAATTACAAATAGAAATTTCATAGGATCCAGTTATCCCACTTCTGGGTATTTATCTCAAGAATGTGAAAATCCTAACTCAAGGAGCTCCAGGCATCCCCATGCTTATCACAGCCCTAGTCACGGCATCGGGAGTCAGAAACCACCTCAGCGCCCAAGGACAGCGAGCGGATTAAGATGTGGTTTAGACACTGTGGAACACTGCTCAGCTCCAGAAAAAGATGAAATCCCGCCTTTTGCAACAACATGGACGGACCTTGAGTGAATTATGCTGAGATTAATCAGAAAGTGAGACAAAGACTGGATGGTTCCGCTCACGTGTGGGAGAGAAACACAACTAATGAGCACATAGGACAGAACTAAACAAGTAAACGCTTAGACTCTAAGAACAAAGTAGAGGTTACCAGAGGGAAGGGAGTGGGGAGATGGGTGAATTGGGCTGAAGGGGTCCAGTGTATCGTGAAGGGCGGAAACTAGACGGCGGTGAACAAATAACAGGGTTTCTATAAGTGTAGGTTCATAATGCCGTGCACCTGAAACTATATAATCTTATGAGCCAATTCTACTCTGTAAACAATCAGAAGAGAAAAGACACCTACACTCTACAGAGGAGGCCGTAGAGGATGAGCCAACTGGTGGGGCACTCAGCCCTACTGGGCTTGACTGAGAGCTGGGACCTGCCCTGAGGCAGCATAGGACTCCCTGCCAGATGTCTTTCATGTGCAAATCCACTAAACCAAAAGCCACAAACCAACCACCTCCATTATCAGGTTTTCCCACTTAGAGCCACAAGTCCTCACCTCCCCAAGTGCTGGTCTGGCCAAGTAGCAGACAGCTAGAGCCTGCAACATTGTTCACGCCAGCCAGTACCAAGCCTGCCTACCCTGCCTGGCCGCTCCTTTTTGCAGAAACCACAATAAAGGCTGTGCCTTGCTTCCTGGCTCCCCCTGCTTCCCGACAGGCGCTGGCGCTCCCCAAGTGGCCTACGTGGCATACCACGGCCCCTCCTCTCAGGATCTGCGTAACAAGCACTCCTGTCAGAGGCGGTCAGCTCAAGACCTGCTGGCTTTGCCAAAGTTGAATAATAAAACCTACATTTTAAAACATGGGCAGGGCTAGAGGAGCAAGGTGGGAAAGCCCAATGCTACAGTCTGAGGTTTAGTCTCTTTCCTACAAGGTTCCAGAAGCCTCCATCAGATTCTCAGCCTCTTGAACTATGGACTCCACTTCTGAACTGGCGGGGGGGGGGGGGGGGGGGGCGGTGTGGAGGGAGTGCTGATCTATTCGCCCAACCGGGAGGATGACAGGATCTGTCCCCGCCCTGCCTTACAGGTGGATGTTAATTTCTCTAGGGTCAGGCCCAACTCTGAGTATGGAGCAGCGCCAGGAACTTCTGTTTGGGGACTGGGCCACGCCCCCAAACCCCCTCCCCAGTGCCAGGCCCCAACTCACCGGTTCTGTTCTTCGAGCTTGGCCAGCAGCTCCAGCTCATCAGGGCTGAGGTTCTCAGAGTCAGAGGTGGGGGAGCAGGTGGGGGCCGACAGGGCCTCCTGGGACGAGGAGTCGGGGCTCAGAGTGGGGCTTGCCATGGCGGGCAGGTGTGTAAGCTGCGAGCAGGGAGGAGTCACAGTCCTGTCTGGGGGATGGAGATACAGTCAGCACTGGGTGCGGTGCCCACCCAGTCCTGCGGCTCTGAGCCAGTTGCTCCCTCTAACAACCTTTCCTCACAGTGGGGTTCCCATTTCTGGTCTGTCTGCTCCTTGCCCACACATCCCAGCCCTACTGACTCTGCGCTGGCTCCTTCTCTTCCCATGACAGCTACTGGGATTCCTGCCTGTGCAGTCCAGATGCCAGAACAGAAATAGGAAGTTCACAGCCTGGGCCTAGCTGTTCTGCTGCCCCTGGGCGTGAAGACCGAGTCTTGACGCCCCTGAGTTAGCAGGGCCAGGGGCTGAGGCTCCCTGCCACTCTGGCCTGGATCTTGGGGATGCAGGAACCCTGTCTAGGCAGCCCCTCCTGCCAGCCTCAGTCTGTCGTCCCCTGCTGCGGCCTGCCCTGCGAGCCCCACCTCAGCATCTGACCGTGCCCGGCTCATCAACCAAAGTGGGCTGCTGGCACAGCCAGAGCAATTATTCTGTACTGTTAATTGTCTGGCACGACTGGCAGCCAGAGGAGTCAACTCCCCTTGGGCTGGGAATGCAGGGACGCATCAAAGTACTGGGAATCTGTGTCCCACCAGGCGCAGGGCTCGGGCTCGGGCCGGATGGGTGTCCTGACCCTGAGTGCTGTGTCCGGGGCTGGTGGTGGGGTCCATCTCTCCTTCTCTTCCCGGGGTGACCCAGCCCCACCCGCCTCAGGGCTTCCAGGACACTGGCCTCGTGCGAGGCAGCCCAGCACCTTGCTGAACACAAAGGTTCTGAACTCAAGTGAACCTGCGCCTAAAGCGTCACTGCCCCTCGACCAACTGTCTGAGTCTCCTCAGACTGAGGATCACACCTCTGAGTGTAGCCGTGACAACCAAGCACGCTACACACATGTGAAAACAGTGCCTGATTCTTAGTGATCGCTCCACACATGTTGGCCATTATCATCCACCCTGGGGCCGGGGCAAGGTCTGGTTGTGAGCCAGGGCCCCAGGGCTCTGCTAGCCCCAGTGTGGCACTGCCAGTGTTGGGCTATGGCATCACCCAGGTGGGAGGTCCCAGGGGTGGGGATTGGCTTGGGGAGAGAAGGCCTCAAGGATCTTGGGACAAGGCACTTTCTGCTTTGTCATGCTTTCTCCTGGTAAGCCTGGGCAACCACTAGGGTCATGGAAGCAGGAAGAAAGCCTGTGCCCGCCCCCCGCCACTTTGGATGGCCCTTTCAAGTCTGCCCACTCTGTGCATGCTCTGAATGAGGTCACTGTGCGCCCATGGACCCACCTGGCCTGGCAGCAAATAGAGAGTGACAGGATGATGCTGGCCAGTTCACCCTGGCCTGGCCAGTCCCGGCCACTGGGTACCTCCCTGCACCCCAAGCTCAGTCCCCAGGCCCCCCAAGGGCCAAGGGTGGGCTGGAATAGGCTCTGACTATGCGCTGATTCCAACCCTCTTTCCCCAGTGCTGGTCTGCCCTGTGGAGTGGGGAGTAACGTCTTTCACTTTTGGGGGGCCCCAAAACCCTCCTTCCCTGGGATCCTGTGGCTCCTCAGGGCCACCGGTTTTTCCTTTCACCCCCAGGGTGCCTCCAGTTGCTGGCGTAGTGGGCTCTGGCTTAGTGAGGGGCACAGACCCGAGGCAGCGGCTCTCGGCAGAATCAGATCTCTCCTCCTATTGCCCCGCGGGCCAGGACTCCACCGCCCCAAAGGCCACGCTGCCCGCCCGCCAGTGCACTGCCTGGCCTGCAGTTAATCATTCCTCAGGGGGACAGTGCGGGCTGCCTGGGGCCTCCTGCAGCGCCAGAGTCTGTGGGGGCAGAGATGGGCCGAGGGCAACAAGTGCTGAGTGAGAGCTTCGCTCTGGGCAGTGGGGAGCCGAAGGCGCAGTGCAGGTCTCCAGACTTCAGTTGGGAAACTGGGGTGGCGGTGGAGGCGGTGAAGGAAGCCTCGTGGGCACAGCTGAATTAGGGGAGGTGTGGGGCCGAGTGAGAGACCGCTGTGGCTTGGGGTCACTCTCACCTCGCCGGGAGGCACCCAGGCCTTGGGCGTGCTCCCTCCAGCCTCCTAAGCCCTAAAGAGCCCAAGAGAGTGACTCAGCTCGGGGTTTCTGGTAAAAAAAAACAAATAAACAAAAAGCCAGAGGCCATCCACGAGCAGAGTTTGTTCAGCTATTTATGGCATGTTAATATGTATTTCACACAGCGCCAGAGCGGATTCAATACACGGGGCTGAAATTTGCAGTGTGAGGCAGAACCTGCTGATCCCCTAGGAGCTTTTCTTGACTCATCCCCAGACTAAACAGAGCTGGGCCTGGAAGCCATCCTCCTGAGTACACACACTCATGCTCACTAGGACACACGCGCTCACACACACACTCACAACCCCTCACCCACGCATCTTTACACACTCTGGTGTGCACACGTGCGTGGGGCCTGCACTGGCCAGACCACCTCATCCTCGGAGCCGAGTGGGTTCGGGATGGACACCGGCCTGCTGCTCCCCTAGTTCCGAGGGTCACGCACTGTTCTAGGCATGGGGATGTGGCGTGGGAGGAGGAGGGTGAGACTCCACCTCTGCTGGGCTCGCAGTCACCCCTCCTGCAGGCACAGAGATGCAGAGACAGGTAGAGAACTGGGGAGCCACCAGCCTCTGAGACCCATGCACAGGCCCTCTCAGTCTGGGGTCCCAGCATCTCCATGTCTCAGCTTCAATGCCCTTTGCCTCTGCTCCCCAGCTACTGAAGGGGGGTCCTGGTCCCTGGAAAGTGGGGCCCTATTCCTCACCCTTATCCCTTGTGGCGCCGCCCCCTGCCGTGCCTCCACAGGGAACATGTCATGCTTCCTCCTTGGCATCCTCTCCAGGGTTTCAAAGAAGCCTCTCCAGAGGGCCTCGGTCTCCCACACGGTGCTCCCTCCTCCACAGGCCCTGCCGAGACCCTCATCCCGACACACCCTCGCGATCAACTCTCAGGGCTTAAATAGTCAAACATGTTGGCGACCACGACACCCTCCTCCTAGCTTTTCCTTGCTCCTTCGTGCCGGCTGAGACAGCCACTGTTTGGTTCCCGACATTGCAGTGCCCAGCGCTGAGCCTGGTACAGCGAAAGGGTCAGGACACAGTCGAGGGCTTGGCCCTTGCCGGCCAACCACCAATATTTACTGCGCTCCTGCCAGGTGCAGGGCACCACGCTGGACAGAAGGATGTGGCCCGTGCCCGCCTGGAGGACACACAGGGGAAGAAACCGAGACGCCATCACTCCGGCTTTCTATTACAGATTGAGAGAAATGCTTGGAGCAAAAGTTAAGGTAGAAAGGAAAACGGGGAATTCCTCAAAAGAGTTGCCCAGCGTTATACACAACCCAGCAATTCTAGTCCCAGGGATCTCCCCAAGAGAACGGGAGACACACGCCGCACAGCACTGTCCGTAACAGCCCCAAAGTGGAAATAACCCCAGTGGCCACCGATGGATAAATGGATGAACAAAATACGATGCATTTACGTAAAGGGCTGTCACTCCGTCACAAAACGTGACTCTGCTCTGTTCTGTTCTGATATGCGCTACAGCACGGACGAGCCTTGCAGACACTGCAGTGACAGACGTGAGACAACAGCCCCCAAGTGACACTTCCATGCGAAGTCTGAACAGGCAAGACCATGGAGACTGGGCCTGGGGCTGGGAGGAACGGGCAGAAAATGTGTATGGGGTTTCTCTTTGGGGTAATGAAATGTTCTGGAGTTAGGCAGTGGTGAGTGTTACAGAACTTTATGAATATACTAAATAAAACCCACCAGATCACTCGATTTCAAAAGGTGGGTTTTATGTTATGTGAATGTGATCTCAGTTTAAAAGAAGGTAAGGAATGAGATGGGCTGGCAGAGGAACGTGTGCAGAAGCAAGGGGACGGTGCCGCTCCAGAAGAGACTGGAGGGTTCTTTGGGGTCAACCCCCGCAGGGCCTTGTGGATTGAGGCAGGAATCTGACAAGACTTGCGGTTTAGGAAGAGCCTACTGGCCTGCTCCTGCCACCGCCCCGCCCCTCCATGGAGACGCTCCCCAAGCTCTCCTGACTGGAGCTGGCTTCTCCTGTAGCAGTAGGCCTGCCTGGTCAACTGGACAGCCCTCCGCCCACTCAGGCCAGCCCTGGTGCTTGCCCCAAACCCTCTACTACAGGATGGAGCCCAAACATTTCTGTATGGTGCACACAACCTGCCCACCTCCACCTCTGACGTACCAGGCACCACCACACTCAGTTACGCAGAAACACCTGCTTCCAACCTGCCTGGAGCTTTGCACATGCTATTCCCTCTGACTGGAAAGGCATTCTCCAAGACCTGCTTTGAGGTTTTGCTTTTCCCCTGTGAAACCTGTCCTGCCAACCCCCCAACTCTAGCATCCTGGCTCACTTCTCTCTTTTTGAAAACACCCCCGGTTATTATTATTGATGCATTATTACTAACTATAGTCTATGCTTTATTCAGATTTTCTGCTTTCCCCTCATAGCCTTTTTCTGTCTCAAGATCCACTTTCTAAGACAAGTTCTGTGGCAATTATTTCTACACACACCCACCTGCTCCAGGGCAAGGTTTGATCTTAACTTTGTACTCCAAGCCCCTGACACAGCATCTGGCGTGTAGTAGGTACTCAATACCATTTTACTGACTAAACGGAGAAACGCATTTCCATACTGCTCAGCCAGGGGGCCAAAGTCAAGGTCAACAGTGATTAGTCATATTGAGACATGTGCCCTTGCTCTGAAGAGACGGGCACTTCACTTGGGTCTTTCCCCCCACTGAACTGTAAGAAAAACCTCTAACGATGAGAACAGCATCTGACAAACCCAGGAAAAAAAAAAGCCATTTTAGAAAATTCCTGCCCTATCTTCCTTAAAACTGCCAAAGTCACCAAAACAAGGAAAATCTGAGAAACTGTCCAAGCCAAGGAGATGTGACAACGCAATGTCAGGGGAACCCTGGGTGGCATTCTGGGAGAGAAAAAGGCCAT